AGCCCTCCTGAACCACTGGTAACGTCAGGGCACCGTCCCCACAGGTCCCCCCCGGCACCCCCACACATCCCAGCAAACTTCATGTCATCAGATGACCTCCTGGGGGCCATCAGATGACCTCCTGGGAGCCATCAGATGACCTCCTGGGAGCCATCAGATGACCTCCTGGGAGCCATCAGATGACCTCCTGGGGGTCATCAGATGACCTCCTGGGGGTCATCAGATGACCTCCTGGGGGCCATCAGATGACCTCCTGGGAGCCATCAGATGACCTGGGGGCCATCAGATGACCTCCTGGGGGCCATCAGATGACCTCCTGGGAGCCATCAGATGACCTCCTGGGGGTCATCAGATGACCTCCTGGGGGCCATCAGATGACCTCCTGGGAGCCATCAGATGACCTCCTGGGGGCCATCAGATGACCTCCTGGGAGCCATCAGATGTCCTCCTGGGGGTCATCAGATGACCTCCTGGGAGCCATCAGATGACCTCCTGGGGGCCATCAGATGACCTCCTGGGGGCCATCAGATGACCTCCTGGGAGCCATCAGATGACCTCCTGGGGGTCATCAGATGACCTCCTGGGAGCCATCAGATGACCTCTTGGGGGCCATCAGATGACCTCCTGGGGGCCATCAGATGACCTCCTGGGGGCCATCAGATGACCTCCTGGGGGTCATCAGATGACCTCCTGGGGGCCATCAAAGCATCCACCACCAGAACTCTTCCCCACATTCCTAAAGCAGCGCGCCCATTTGCAGCAGGGAAATATACAGACCTTCTAAGGAAAGTGAATGAACGGTCTGAATATCTTAATGCTGCAGCCACCATCAAAGCATGGCATAATTTGCTCCTGTTTGGCAATATTTGCTTAGGCGTACCTGCAAGAGGAGGCAAGTCGCTAGCCTCATCAGTCACTAGCCTCATCAGTCACTAGCCTCATCAGTCACTAGCCTCATCAGTCACTAGCCTCATCAGTCACTAGCCTCATCAGTCACTAGGGCAGTAAATAATTTCCTCAGAGCTGACAACTTGATCCCCATTCCTCCTCAACCAACCCGTTCTCGCAAATTTAATAAGTCAATATTGACTTATTAGTTGCGTGCATAGGTGACATACTAAACATAATAGTTTCCCTTGAAAAGCTTCATAGAAAACACCGACCTTACCTAACCTACTTAGTATGTTAAAATAAGCATCTTATAGCTTCGTAATTACAATTGTTACTTAACCTTTTATAGGTATAGGTTAGGTAATAATTGTAATTACGAAGCAATAAGATGCTTATCTTAACATACTAAGAAGGTTAGGTAAGGTCGGTGTTTTCTATGAAGCTTTTCAAGGGAAACTATTATGTTAAGTATGTCACCTATGCACATATTTAATAAGTCAATATTGACTTATTAAATTTGCGAGAACGGGTTGCCTCAACGCAAAAACCGTCGTGGCAGACCCAAGAGTTCCAATGACAATTTTAAACTAGAAACACAAGTGACCCTAAAAATTAAAGAGGGCAACACAGTAGGAGCAATTAGGTTACTTACCAGTGAAGACACAATCGCCCCTAGAAACACAGCAACTGCCGACTCACTGAAAGAGAAGCACCCTCCCAGAGTACCATGGGAACCCACTGCTCGGGACACAAATGTCCCAGACATGGGACCGCTATTCCTCCAAGCGTCAGAGGTATACAAAGCCATCATGTCATTTCCACCAGGGTCAGCAGGGGGATACACTGGAGTAAGACCTCAGCACCTCAAGGAGATGACGAACCCAGTTCTCAGCGAAGTTGCCGAGACATTACTGTCAGAGGTCACGAAGTTTGTCAACGACTGCCTCACTGGGCTGATCCCAGAGGGGCAGTCGTTGACCCCTTCTTCGGAGCATCCCTGTGTGCCCTTAAGAATAAGGATGGTGGAGTCCGACCCATTGCCGTGGGTAACACACCTCGGCGCCTCGTTACCAGGGCAGCTGTCAAAAACATCGGCACGGAAGCTGCAACAATGCTTCGACCCCATCAACTAGGCTTTGGTGTCCCCCATGGCTGTGAAGCGGCAGCTCATGCAGCACGAGCCTATATTAAACACCTCCCAGAACATAAGGCATTAATTAAATTAGACTTTAAAAATGCTTTCAACCAGGTAAAAATGGATATGGTACTGGAAGCAGTTCGACCATGCTTTCCTGGTCTACTCCCCTTCGTTTCAGCAGGGTTCAGTATGGAATCGACACTGTTGTTTGGGGAAAATGAAGTTGTTTCTGCAGAAGGTGTTTAGCAGGGAGACCCACTTGCCCCTTTCCTTTCCTGCATGGCAGCTAAAGAGGTCACCAGCAGGTTGACCAGCGAATTCAACATCTGGTTCCTGGACGATGGCACCCTGGCAGGGACACAGGAGTTTCTTCTAGGGGGATCTGCAGCTGGTGAAATCTATGGGAGAGGAGTTAAGACTCGCCCTAAATCCATCAAAGTGTGAAATCATCTCATCTAGCCAACCAATCATAGATGCAGTACAAACCGTCTTGCCAATTCTCAAATCCTCATCCAACTTTTCCAAACGACTGCAAACAGGCCAAATGGGGATAGCCCCATAGTGGAGAACATTACCACAGCATTGCTGGAGGCAGCTTCTGGGAAGGACAAAGCACGTCTCCTCGCTGTGCAAGCTCCCCATGCCGGGGACTTCCTGTTTGCTGTTCCTAATTCCACCTTGGGCACCCGCCTGGACCATCGGGGCCTAAGTATTGGTGTTGCCCTGCGCCATGCCGTTCCTTTCTTCACCGAACACCGGTGTATCTGCTGCTATGCGTCGGCAGACCAATACGGCAGTCATGGTCACGGCAGTCATGGTCACATCTGTCATGAGTCACCGGGAAAGATTGACTGGCATGAAGCAGTCAATGACATCATCAAGAGAAGTTTGGCTACAGCTGGGTGTCCAGCACAAAGGGAACCTCAGTTGTGCAGACCTGACAACAGCCACAAACGCCCATACGGAGTCACCCTGCAGCCAAGGAGGGAGGGTAGACAAGTAGTATAAGACTACACATGCACGTCTACATTGGCTGATACCTATCTACCTCGCAGTATAGCAGAGGGAGGTAGGGCGGCCACCTTCAGGGAGACCCAGAAAACTGACAAGTACAGGGACCTAGAACGTTGTTACAGGTTCGTGCCGATAGACTCTGAGACTCTGGGCGCTGTTGATGATTCCTGTTGATAAAGGAACCCTTAAGGGTTACGATGGAGTTGCCAGATACTTAATAATACTGTAATTGTCTAATCTGATTGTGAGAGAGTCCAGAGAGGTACTGTTAGTCAAGGTTCATAGCCGAGAAAACAACAACAGAATACAATCTGACCCCATAGTATACGAAGCAGCAGAAAACAATGATAATATGATATATTCTCGATGATGTATACCATATTCTACATATAGTGATGTACATTACAAGCTTAAGATCTATCAACCTCTAGAGGTTCATAGGTCTTAAGTCCAACACCAAACTTGCTGGTTGGTGTTACGGTGCTCTCTAATGTTTCTCCCCATTGCCAGCGTTAAGTCATGTTCACTTACCTTGCAGGTTCCCTGACATGCAGAGTCATTCGATATGAGACACTTCTTGATAGATTACATATTTATGGAGAAATTATCATTTATAAGTTTTGCAGGTAAGGGGGTGTTACGCCCCATGTACATAAAAGATGGCGACGTCTCTATCGGTTTGGCGCCAAGACATTAGGGCGCCAGCAAGCTGGCGATTGGCTGGCCGAGGTCACGTGACGTGACTAACCAATCAGAGCCTGCTGTGACATCACCGGAAGGCCTGGCTCAGGACCTGCAGGTCACTGAGCCAGTATATTTTCACAGACCTTTGACGCGAGCAGAAGTGCGTCAGTGTGCTCTCGAGATTGGAGGTTCTGGGATCCTCGCTCAGTGGATTTGGGCACCCAATGCTGTCTACCATTGTCGCAGAGGATTAGGTACTCCCGGGGAATATGAAGAAGCCAAGTTTAGTAGGCAAAGAAGTGCCAAGAACTCGTGGCTGTTAGCCTGTGACGGAAGGTGTGCGACGACGCTGGGAGGGCAAGGGGGCGCCCTGCGGATCCCGCTCTAGTACGACGCGCAGAGCAGCTGTGACCGGGTCACATCTACTGAGGTTCTGGAGGGAATGTCGGAATATATTCCCAGGTGGTGGTCTTAATAACCCTCCAGAGGTTGATAGGCCTTAAGCCCAACAGCAAACTTGTTGGTTGGTCAGTAAAGTATTGTGGTGGTCTTAATAACCCTCCAGAGGTTGATAGGCCTTAAGCCCAACAGCAAACTTGTTGGCTGGTCAGTAAGGTATTGTGGTGGTCTTAATAACCCTCCAGAGGTTGATAGCCCTTAAGCCCAACACCAAACTTGTTGGTTGATCAGTAAGGTATTGTGGTGGTCTTAATAACCCTCCAGAGGTTGATAGCCCTTAAGCCCAACACCAAACTTGTTGGCTGATCAGTAAAGTATTGTGGTGGTCTTAATAACCCTCCAGAGGTTGATAGCCCTTAAGCCCAACACCAAACTTGTTGGTTGATCAGTAAGGTATTGTGGTGGTCTTAATAACCCTCCAGAGGTTGATAGCCCTTAAGCCCAACACCAAACTTGTTGGTTGATCAGTAAGGTATTGTGGTGGTCTTAATAACCCTCCAGAGGTTGATAGCCCTTAAGCCCAACACCAAACTTGTTGGCTGATCAGTAAAGTATTGTGGTGGTCTTAATAACCCTCCAGTGGTTGACAGGTCTTAATAATACTCATCATAAGGCAGCGGGATTATGTTCACAGTACCAAGAGTCAGGTCAACAGTGGTGTCATTACATATAGATAATTACATAATACATATGATTTTCTTATACTTCCTAAAACAGTTAAATCTAATCTAAAAAAATACATGAAAATAAACTTGCTGGAGTCACAGGGTGACTGCTGGGGGGGCAGAGGACAGCAGAGCGTGTGGGAACTCACCTGGGTACTCGATGGCTCCTTGGGCGTGTCGTGGGGCGTCTGTCTGCTGGAGTTTGCGGAACTCTCTGCTGAGGAGGACGGCGAGGTCTTGGTGGCTGGTTTGGACTGTCCCAGTTCCGAAGACAACTCCTGCAGGCGAGCCAGCACCTCCTGCAGGGTGCTGCTGAAGTTCTGCCAACAGTCCTTGAACATGTCTCCCTCCATGTCTGACTGCTTCTGCTCGACCTTCACTTCGCGTCCGACGATGGGGGACTTGTCTCGACTCTGTGGCGAGTCTTGCGAGGAATTTCTCAGGTAATTGTTGTGATCTGGAGTTTTTTTCTGGCTTTCTTCTGCCTTATTTTGTTTAGGCAGTATGTCTGGGTGCTTGAAACTCTCTCTAGTGCCATCTTTATCTGGCTTGTGCTGGAGGGGTTTGTTAATCTGGGCGCTAGCTGGCACAGTGTCGTCCGGTGTCACCACCTCAACCTCCTCCTGACGCTTGGGATATTTCCTCTGGCTGGCTTGCTCTTTGTTTACATTTAATTTTGGGTCATTTGTCCGGAGCTCGCTGCCCTCTCCGCCGCCCTCAGATTGTTTCACGTATATATTAGAGTATGTCCATGGCGTGATGACTTCAGACGGCTTGATGTTCTCCTTGTCTCTAAAGTTGTTATTGTTGGGTCTGTCTTTGGCAGAAGTGAAGTCACACGAGGTGTTGCCTGAGGTCTTTGGCGTCTTACTCTCAGTATTCTGGTGCACGACTGGTCGCTCCCCGACGCTCTCCTGTTCTTGGGACCGTATTGCTGCATCTTTGTGTATACTCGGCCGGGCAGTTGCCAGGCCTTGGAAGGCCTTTGTGGCTGGAAGCTCGGCAACGGTTTCAGCGTCGTCCACACGCTCTAAGCGGATCGGGATGTTGATTTCCGTCGCTTCCTCGTATTTTGAGGTTCTTCTTCGACTCCTGTGACAGCCTTTGTCTTCCGGATCTTCCGCTATGTCTCTGTTTCTTCTTCTGCTGCCGCCGGCGTCGATAGAGGTCGACCTCGGAGTGGCACCCTCAGGATAGCTCTTCCTTCTGTGGTCGAGGTCGTCATCTGTGTCGTTGACTCGTCGTCTGGTGGTCGTCTCCTTCGTCCTCAGCCCTTCGTCTCTGTTGCGTTCCGCGCTCGGACTCTCCCCGAAGGTGTGTCGTCTCCCGCTCGTGCTTCTGTCTCTGGAGGCCGAGTGTTGATGCCCTTGAGTGTATGGGTCTTGGGGCCTCTTGCTGGGAGTTGGTCCCGGGTCTGGCTGAGTGACAGAGTGCCGCTTCGTGCCACTCCTGCCACCTTCGGCCTCCGCCTCCACAGTCACAGGGATCACTCTCACATCAGTCTGGTGAGAACAGTTACATTAAAGAATATAATTCAACATAAAAATTTTCCAACTATCAAAACTTACAAATCTCAATGAGCAATTGAATTATACTTAGTTTACGTACACCAGAAAGGTGTAGAGTAAGGGGGAATATGAGTAAACTATTCAGGTGGATAGAAGGGTATACCGATGAGGAGGGTATAGCAGATTACAACACGAAGAAATGATACAAAATTCGATCAACTTGGATTAATAACAAAGACCTGGGTAAATACTGGTTTGGAAATCATGTTGTTGATTTGTGGAACAGGTTACTGTTTACCGTAATAGACGTGGGCTCCCTGGATTGTTTCAAGCGTAGGTTAGACATACAGATGAATGAATGGGTGGAAATAAATATGAGGTGGAACATATGGACATTCTGCAGTTTCCTGTTTTGATGTCATCATATATTTCTATCTGCCAATCCGCGAATTATCCCTGAATCATTTTTTCAAACTCTCTACTCACGTTGCTCCATTCGGAACAGTGAGTAAGCGCTCGATGAATATAAGCGTAGAGTTTGAAAGAATAACTCAGGTGTTGGTGAACAATGAATATAGCAACACGGAAATAAACGCTGCTATAAGAAGACACCTGGACCGATGGTATGTGTATGTGCTTCATCCCCTATTTTTGCCTCACCTTTTACTTTATTCTATTTCTCTTCACCTGACCCCGTACTGGTATAAATCTAACGCGATTTGTATTTTTTTATCACTTGAGAATGAACCATATAGGTTCGAAACGTTGTGCAAATATATAATAAGTGTAATACATTCTATATTTACTTCTTTTTCTTCACCTCGAAAACGAACATAACTTTTGGAGAACTCTTCTTCCAACTAAACCCTGATGCAAGAACACCAGTTAGAGGGATAGAAGCCCTAGACCAGAAGATAGTAAATACAGAATATGCTGTCATATTTAAGGACATGTATAACAGAAAACCTGCTGCCAGTATACACCAATATTATATATATATATATATATATATATATATATATATATATATATATATATATATATATATATATATATATATATCCACCCCACTACACCTAACCAGACAAAGATTCATAAACCTAAATATTGATTAATGGAGGTGACATGAAGGTAGGAAGATTAAGTTGACATTAACTGGGGTATACAGTGGACATTAACTGTGGTATACAGTGGACATTAACTGGGGTATACAGTGGACATTAACTGGGGTATACAGTGGACATTAACTGTGGTATACAGTGGACATTAACTGTGGTATACAGTGGACATTAACTGTGGTATACAGTGGACATTAACTGGGGTATACAGTGGACATTAACTGTGGTATACAGTGGACATTAACTGTGGTATACAGTGGACATTAACTGTGGTATACAGTGGACATTAACTGTGGTATACAGTGGACATTAACTGTGGTATACAGTGGACATTAACTGGGGTATACAGTGGACATTAACTGTGGTATACAGTGGACATTAACAGTGGTATACAGTGGACATTAACAGTGGTATACAGTGGACATTAACTGTGGTATACAGTGGACATTAACTGTGGTATACAGTGAACATTAACTATGGTATACAGTGGACATTAACTGTGGTATACAGTGGACATTAACTGTGGTATACAGTGGACATTAACTGTGGTATACAGTGAACATTAACTATGGTATACAGTGGACATTAACTGTGGTATACAGTGGACATTAACTGTGGTATACAGTGGACATTAACTGTGGTATACAGTGGACATTAACTGTGGTATACAGTGGACATTAACTGTGGTATACAGTGGACATTAACTATGGTATACAGTGAACATTAACTGTGGTATACAGTGAACATTAACTGTGGTATACAGTGGACATTAACTGTGGTATACAGTGAACATTAACTATGGTATACAGTGGACATTAACTGTGGTATACAGTGGACATTAACTGTGGTATACAGTGGACATTAACTGTGGTATACAGTGGACATTAACTGTGGTATACAGTGGACATTAACTGTGGTATACAGTGGACATTAACTATGGTATACAGTGAACATTAACTGTGGTATACAGTGAACATTAACTGTGGTATACAGTGGACATTAACTGTGGTATACAGTGAACATTAACTATGGTATACAGTGGACATTAACTGTGGTATACAGTGAACATTAACTATGGTATACAGTGGACATTAACTGTGGTATACAGTGAACATTAACTGTGGTATACAGTGGACATTAACTGTGGTATACAGTGGACATTAACTGGGGTATACAGTGAACATTAACTATGGTATACAGTGGACATTAACTGTGGTATACAGTGAACATTAACTATGGTATACAGTGGACATTAACTGTGGTATACAGTGAACATTAACTATGGTATACAGTGGACATTAACTGTGGTATACAGTGGACATTAACTATGGTATACAGTGGACATTAACTGTGGTATACAGTGAACATTAACTGTGGTATACAGTGGACATTAACTATGGTATACAGTGGACATTAACTGTGGTATACAGTGAACATTAACTGTGGTATACAGTGGACATTAACTGTGGTATACAGTGAACATTAACTATGGTATACAGTGGACATTAACTGTGGTATACAGTGAACATTAACTGTGGTATACAGTGGACATTAACTGTGGTATACAGTGAACATTAACTATGGTATACAGTGGACATTAACTGTGGTATACAGTGGACATTAACTGTGGTATACAGTGGACATTAACTGTGGTATACAGTGGACATTAACTGTGGTATACAGTGGACATTAACTGGGGTATACAGTGGACATTAACTGTGGTATACAGTGGACATTAACTGTGGTATACAGTGGACATTAACTGTGGTATACAGTGGACATTAACTGTGGTATACAGTGGACATTAACTGTGGTATACAGTGGACATTAACTGTGGTATACAGTGGACATTAACTGTGGTATACAGTGGACATTAACTGTGGTATTGGGGTATTATATTGCACATACACATATTGTTTACATAATTTTATACCTATCACAAATCATACCAAGTATAGAGTTATATAATTTATATAATCCTGGACTTACGTTAATATAATCTAACTCACTATTTTTTATAAACGAAGAATCAATAATATTTCTTTCAGTAACTGATTTACACTCCACAACTTTGCATGAAATTATTACAATCATTACAATTGTTACAAAAAATTACAATCTCTTAAGGGAACAAATAATACTCTGAACTCCTGACCTATACTTATAGAATACTGATGTTGCTTTATTCTCTGACCAAGATGTTTACCAGTTTGTCCAACACAGAACATTGTGCAATCTTTACATGAAATTTTATACTCGCATCTATTTCAACTTCCTGGAGAATGTTTTTTTATGATATCAAGATTCCTATATGCTACATTGATATTAAATTATTTTAATAATTTAGGAATTTAATTGAAATTATAATGAAATGACAGAGTTCATTTATTCTTAATGTTGAATTCTTTCTTGTTCAAACTACAGTAAGATATACGAGCAATTTGGCTGGATTTATCAATAAATGATTCAGAGTATTTTAAGTTGAAAACTTGGGGTATATATGACATTATAGTTTCATCATATATAAACTCAAGACTATGTATTAAGTTTTTATAATTGCAGGTTTTGTGTAAATAGGAACCAGTAAATATGTTGGTTCCTGCGTACACTTTGACTCATCATCAAGGAGTAAAACAAAGATATTTATATATATATATATATATATATATATATATATATATATATATATATATATATATATATATATTTTTATATATATATATATATATATATATATATATATATATATATATATATATATATATATATATATATATATATATATATATGTCGTACCTAGTAGCCAGAACTCACTTCTCAGCCTACTATTCAATGCCCGATTTGCCTAATAAGCCAAGTTTTCCTGAATTAATATATTTACTATAATTTTTTTCTTATGAAATGATAAAGCAACCCTTTTCTCTATGTATGAGGTCAATTTTTTTTTATTGGAGTTAAAATTAACGTAGATATATGACCGAACCTAACCAACCCTACCTAACCTAACCTAACCTATATTTATAGGTAAGGTTAGGTTAGGTAGCCAAAAAAAGCTAGGTTAGGTTAGGTTAGGTTAGGTTAGGTAGGTTAGGTAGACGAAAAAACATTAATTCATGAAAACTTGGCTTATTAGGCAAATCGGGCCTTGAATAGTAGGCTCAGAAGTGCGTTCTGGCTATTAGGTACGACATATATATATATATATATATATATATATATATATATATATATATATATATATATATATATATATATATATATATATATATATATATATATATGTCGTACCTAGTAGCAAGAACGCACTTCTCAGCCTACTATGCAAGGCCCGATTTGCCTAATAAGCCAAGTTTTCCTGAATTAATGTATTTTCTCAAATTTTTTTCTTATGAAATGATAAAGCTACCCATTTCATTATGTATGAGGTCAATTTTTTTTTTATTGGAGTTAAAATTAACGTAGATTTATGACCGAACCTAACCAACCCTACCTAACCTAACCTAACCTAACCTATCTTTATAGGTTAGGTTAGGTAGCCGAAAAAGTTAGGTTAGGTAGTCGAAAAACACATTAATTTATGAAAACTTGGCTTATTAGGCAAATCGGGCCTTGCATAGTAGGCCGAGAAGTGCGTTCTTGCTACTAGGTACGACATTATATATATATATATATATATATATATATATATATATATATATATATATATATATATATATATTATTAAATATGACCGAAAAAGTAAGATTAATAATTCTAACACGAATTTTCTCAATCTTTCGTACATTACGCTTCACTGTTGGAGGTAAATCAAAAATCACTTCTCCAAAATTCATTTTTATTTCTAGTCTGACGCGACACGGGCGCGTTTCGTAAAAC